CTGTCAGCACAGAGCCCGACGCAGGACTCGAACCCATGAACTGAGAGATCATGACCTGAGCCAAAGTCGGACGTTTAACTGACTGAGCCACCCAGGTGTCCCTGGTAATCTTTTCTCTTAAAAGACTGGTTAATATTTTAGGCTTTGTGGGATAAGAAGTAAAATTGGAGATATTAGATAGATACTTATACAACCATTTAAAAAGGTAAAAAACATTCTTTTTTTTTTAAATTTTCTTTAATCTTCATTTATTTTTGGGAGAGAGGGACACAGAGCATGAGTGGGGGAGGGGCAGAGAGAGAGGGAGACACAGAATCCTTAGCAGGCTCCAGGCTCTGAGCTGTCAGCACAGAGCCCAATGTGAGGCTTGAACTCACGAGCTGTGAGATCATGACCTGAGCTGAAGTCAGCCACTTAACCCACTGAGCCACCCAGGTGCCCCGAAACCATTCTTAGGTGGCAGACTCATGACTCTCTATAAATCAGATGCTGTCTTGAGTGGACTTGGCCTGTGGGCTATAGTTTTCTGGCCCCTGTAAGTTTGTTTCCTTTTAGTATCTCTCAGTAATGTTGTATAACTGTGTTTAGGTCTTGCAGATCTGTTAGAAATATTCCGGGGTGCCTGGGTAGCTCAGTCAGTTAAGCATCCAACTTCGGCTCAGGGCATGATTTCGTGGTTCATGGGTTCGAGCCCCGCGTCGGGCTATGTGCTAAGAGCCCAGCATGGATCCTGCTTTGGATTCTGTGTCTCCCTCTCTCTCTGCCCCTCCCTGCTCATGCCCTGTCTCCCTCAAAAATAAATACATGTTGAAAAACAACAACAAATTATTCCTAGCTCCCAGTTTTCTAGTTCTCTCTTCAGCTGTGCATAATCTGCTGCTAAAAAACTTCCACTGAATTCTTAATTTTGGTTATTGGATTTTTAAAAATTCTACAATTCGTATTTTTTCACATGCCCAGGTATCTGTTGAAATTCCTCAAACTGGTTTATCTCCTCGAACAGAGTAAGCAATTATTTTATAGTGTTTGGTGGCTCCACTGTCTGCAGCCTCTGTGGGCCACTTTCCATGGTCTCTTATTTCACTGGTTTTCTTAATATCTTGACTCATACGCTTGGTTACATTTTATTGTGTTCAAGATATTGTATTAGCAAAATTACTTGTAGAAACAAGTTGAAGTTTAGGATGATGGTATTTTCCTTCAGAGAGCGTTTTTGTTTGCTTATGCCAAGGGTGTGGGGAAACTACCACTTTGGGATCAACTTAATCTAATGTCAAGGATTGAGACCATTGGAAACCAAGCTGCAGTCCAGAGAGAGCCTTTCAATTTCCTCCTTCTGGTTCACTCCTATTCCTGGGGTGCAAAGGACTGAGGACCTCAACTCAAACTGAGGAACACTGACCAGGTCTACCACTCTTTGACCGGCACAGACCCCTACTTCCAAAAGCCGGTCACAATCACCCATCAGCCTCTGAAGTGCCCCCTTCACATTTGGCAAATGCCCCCAAGAGAGCGCTGGCCCTTAACACCAAGCCCTCCTTCCAGGGTCACCTTCTTCTCAGTAGTCCTAGCCCAGTAATCCTTCAAACAAATGTTCTTTGATGCGTTTGGTTAGAGAGGGAGAGAGAGAGAGAGAGAGAGAGAGAAAACGAGCGAAGGAGAGGGGCAGAGGGAGAGAGAATGAGTGAGGGAGAAGGGCAGAGGGGGAAGGAGGGAGGGAGAGAGGGAGGGAGAGGGAGGGAGGGAGGGAGGGAGAATCTCAAGCAGGCTCCATGTTCAGTGCAGAGCCCAACATGGGACTCAATCCCGTGACCCTGGGATCATGACCTGAGCTGAAATCAAGAGTCGGTCACTCAACCAAACGAGCCACCCAGGCGCCCTGACTTTGGATGCTTTAAATGTTTTGTCCAGCCTTTCTAACTGCCCTCGGTGGGATAGTGAGTCTAAATTACCTACCCACCAGGGGCACCTGGGTGGCTCAGTCATAAGTGTCTGACTTGGTTTCAGTTCAGGTCACGATCTCACAGTTGCGTGGGTTGGAGCCCTGCATCGGGCTCTGCGTTGACAGCACAGAGTCTCCTCGGGAGGGATTCTCTCTGCCCCTCTCCCACTTGCTCTCTCTCAAAATAAATAAATAAATAAACTTAAAAAAACGTACCTGTCCACCATTATCGGGAACAAAAGTCCTCATTAGTTATATGTTAGAGGCACTTGAGTAGCCACATACGTGGCATGGGAACAGTATGCAAAATGCCAGTATGCCACTGTCCCACTCTTTTGTTAGAAAAGAATTTTGTAGAAACAATTAGGCCTTGGAAAAATCCTTTGCTCTAACAGGAACTGCAGGTGTCTAAACTCCTAGCAGCAAGCATGGGTTACTTCCATCTACCTATGACAAAGCGGTTAACGGATTTCCCAAGTCTTCACTGAGAGCCTATTATGTGTGAGGGACCAAAGAGATGACATTCCCATTTTATAGCAGACACTAAGGGATCAATTAATTAGTTGACAGACCTCACAATAAAGCCTGAGGTTCAGTTTTCAGCTCTCCTCTGCTTTTTCAAATTGTGTATTCTTTCCAAGGACATACAGGAATCTAATTTCTACTGTTTAAATGCCTTTATTCCTTTCAAATTATACCAAAAAGGCAGAATAACAATTTGATATTTTTGGCTACTGTGGTAACGTTTGACAATTTTCTAAAAAAAAAAAAAAAAAAAATACAAATGATCAGTATCTAAAAATTTCATTAAAAATACAAGAAATGCAAATGAAAATATGAGATACTACTTTTTCTATTAAAGTGGCAAAATATCTTTTTCATAATACCCCGTGTTAGGAAGGTTTCAGAGAAATGAGTGCTCTTTTACACTGCTGGAGGGGGGTGAATTACAGCTGTTTCTGAAGAGTATGGGTCAACAGACCAAATCCTTGAAAACATGCATACCTTGCAATTCTACTTCTAATAATGTATGCCAAGGGAATAATTACAAATGTGTATACAGATTTAACTTTAAAGTTGTATGTTGTATCACACCGTTTATAAGAAACTGGAGACAATCTAATAGGGGATTGTTTAAATAGATTACAGAAATGACAATGGAATACTAAAAACAAGGGTGGCCATGGACGGTTATCTGTTAAAATGGGAAGTCAGTATTTTGTTAAATGGAAAAGGCAAGTTATAAAAGAGCACAGTATGATCTCATATCTGTTTTTAAAAACCATACATGTTTATATATACATATAGAAAAACACTGAGGATATATACCACATTACCATAGGCAATCTCTGGATGGTGGAAAATAGGAGTGATTAAAAAAATCTTTATACCCATTTTTGTATTTATCTGCAACAAATGTGTACCATTTCTGTGATGAAAAAAGGAAAGAAAAGTGAAAGCCTAATTTAAAAAACTGCCTTGCTTAGGTTTTGGCTTGTGGCAGGAGGGGCGACATGCCCGCAGAGGCATCTACCTGGTTTTGTTCCTTCGGACCTGAGTGGGTACTTCTCACAGTTGTTTTTCTGCACATGCCGTAATCATGGACCTTTGACTGTCTAGAAAACTGTTCTCTCATTTTCAACTAGATCTCACCGAGGCTATGACTGGGGAAGGAAGCCACCTTTCTAGAGTAGGTTGGTTGCAAAACCATGCCCAAGGCCCACACTTTAGTTGGGGAGCCCTTAGAAAAGTTCTGGGGAGAAAGAAGGCGGAAGCAAGCAGAAAACAGATACAGAAGGATGGGCTCTAAACTGGAAGGTTTCCGTTTAATCCTTATGTCAATTCTAGGGTCTCCTCCATCTTCCAGGTAGGGCTGATGGGAGGATACCTGAGATCTTCTCATAGAGACTCCTTCTAAAGTTGAGTCACTTCAGAAGAGAGAGGACAGAACTGACAATTATATTGAAGATTTAAACAAGTCTGCTAACATTGAACTATTAGAGCAACGCTACAGCTATAGAAATAGTGGCATGTGGATGGAAAGTTTGTTCTGGGTTGGTACAGACATTCCAAATGAACCAAAACTCTCTGAGGACCATGCTTAGTAGGTTCGGTAAATGATGACACTACCTATTAGATAGATGGATTCCTTTGCTAAGAACAAAGGAAAAGTTACTTGTCCAAATAAGGCAAACCTCTAAAGTCATGTATAATATGGCAAAGGCCTGTCCCTCCTATATCCCACATCCTCCACTGTGATTCTAAGCCAGGGCTGAGTTTTCCTTGGGGTGGCTGCCAGATAGGGTTGAAAATCTGATTCTCAACTCACAGGCTAATATAAAGAGAAACCATATCAAGATTTGAGGGGAAGAGGGGCCATATTCATCTTCACAATAAAAAGTCACTGAGCCTAGAGGCTCAGCTGTCAAACATGGTTACTAGAGGGGTGTCCAAAGTAATGTGTTTCTGATTAGTAGTTTAAATACTAATGTCTGTAAATGCTACACTTTTAAAAAGAATAAATTACTGTAGATACAGTTAGCCATACAACCAAGTCACTCTCAGACACTTGTATGCTTTCTTGAATGAGAGAGAAAAAGGTGGAGTTTCAGCTATCAGCACGGGCATCAGCTGTCATGTGTCATCTTGGACAAGAGGATGAATGCTGCTGTTACAGAACACGAAACAAGGGAGCCCAGGGTCAGAGAGCCCGGGGCAGGATGCCAGGGATGAGAGCACATTTGTGGACGTGTTCCAGTGTCCTGCAACTGGGGGAAAAGAAAGGTTAGGAGATGTTGGGATGCAGGATGAGTGATGCATGAGGCATGCACTTGAGGCTTTAAGGAAGCAGGATTAGCCCTCTGTTCAACAGGACATGTTGATACTCATAATTTACATTAGTACCGAGAAGGCGGCAGCAGGGCAATTACATCAGGTTAAATGCCAGTTCTTGAGGGGAGGAGCCTTTAGAGCTGGGGGTGGAGCTGAGTCCCCCTCCCCTCAGTTACTCATGGGAAACCCGTTCCAAGGCCACATAGAAACTGTTCTTGTCATCTAGGCAATGCCAGCCAATTGGTCCGATTTCACAGTCTGCGCACACCAGAAACTTGATGTTGCCCACGTCCTTGGTGAAGCCCACGTTCTCAAAGATGAACATGTCATCAACCAGCCAGTGCTCCTGGAGAAGCTCGCCGTCAGGATTGCTGCCATCAGCCAGAGCTGGTTTCTTTCTCATGGAGGGAAGGAAAAGCTGCAGTGGAAAAGAACACAAAGAATGCAAGAGCTGACTGGCCAGTCACGTCATCACCCCCATTCCACTCACACATTACACTGCTCCCTAGCACTTTCTCGGAATGAAAACAAAATGAGGAGCCTGATCATTGATGGATGAGGATGCTGGGCGGCTCCTCCGTTGCCTCTAGTCCGTGCCCTGATTCTTACGAGACGTTAAAGAGGTAACATGCTGTTTCCAACTGGCTTCACTGCTATCTTTACCATGGTCCATAAGGCCCTGCCTGTTCCTAATCTCCCTCCAGCCACACTGGCCTTGCCTTCTTCAAACAGGGTAAGTGTGCTCTGCCCTCAGATCCTGGCAAGGCCGGTTCCTTCATGATATTCAGCTCAAATGTAACCTCTTCAGGAGGTCTTCTCTAACCAACCAATCTGAATTAGCTTCCCATACTGCCCACTATGTTTTATTTTATACTTTTTAAAGTTTACTCAACTATTTTGAGAGAGAGATCAAGTGGGAGAGGGTGGGAGAAAACAGAGAATCTCAAGCAGGCTCCACACTGTCAGCATGGAGACCAACGCGGGGCTTGAACTCATGAAGCGTGAGATGATGACCTAAGCTGAAACCAAGAGCTGGTCGCTTAACCAACGGAGCCACCCAAGCGTCCTATGTTTTTTTATATGGCTTTACTGAGGTATAGTTGACACATATACTGCACAATACTTAAAGTATACAATTAAAGATACATTTTGGCCCAGGCATATACCGATAAATCATTACCAGCAAGATACCAAGCATATTCATCACCCCCAAAGTCTCTTTATGCCACTACCTCTTTATTTTCTACTTACCATTCTCTGAACTTAATGTATTGGCTTATTTACTATGGGTCTCCCTCCACTAAAATGTAAGCCCCAGGAAAGGAAGGAGCTTACCTTCCTGTTCACTACTATATCCCCAGTGCCTAGAGTAATAACTGGCATAGAGCAGGAACTCAAATATTTTCAAAAGAATAAATACAGGATACCTGGCTTTGCTCTATTCCATCACTGTAAGGTATGTGCTGGATTTATCTTACAAAAGAACATTAACAAGGAAAATTTAGTTCTAGAATTCGGAATAGCATCCCAAGGATCCTTGTACCCACAAATCAACATGCCTCCCCAATCACTATGAGAAAGCCTCTGGCACACACGCGTGTAAGTACACACACACACACCCTTTAATTTCTTCCATATGGTTAGTTCACACACCTTTAGCAGCCCCACAGTACTGCAAGATACATACAGCAAAGCTTGTTACTCCTCTGCTCTCATCGTAATGGCTACTGCCAATACACTTATTTTCCACCCTATGAAACACTTTTCAGTTTTTACTTTATTATGACTATGAAAATATTTGCTACAAAGCCAAGTAGTAGTCTATGGCTGTTTCTTTTTCATAAGTTTTTTCTTCATAGGTAACAATTTACTTTTTTTTTCCCTCTTGCATTAACTTTCAACGTACCTACTATAATTTTTTTTTTAAATTTAAATCCAAGTTTGTTAACATATAATGTATTAATGGTTTCAGGAATAGAATCTAGTGATTTATCACTTATACATAAAACCAAGTGCTCACCCAACAAGTGCATTCCTTAATACCCATTGCCCATTTAGCCCATCCCCCCCCCACCTGACACCCCACCAGCAACCCTCAGTTGTTCTCTGTATTTAAGAGTCTCTTATGGTTTGTCTCCCTGTTTTTATCTTTTCACTTCCCTTCCCCCATGTTCATCTGTTTTGTTTCTTAAATTCCACACATGTGTGAAATCATATATTTGTCTTTCTCTGACTGACTTATCTCGCTTAGCATAATGCATTCTAGTTCCATCTACATTGTTGCAAATGGCAAGATTTCATTCTTTTTGATTGCTGAGTAATATTACACACACACACACACACACACACACACACACACACACACACACCCACATCTTCTTTATCCATTTGCCAGTCAATGGACATCTGGGATCTTTCCATACTTTGGCTATTGTGATAGTGCTGCTATAAACATTGGGGTGCAAGTGCCCCTTTGAATCAGCATTTTTGTATCCATTGAATAAATGCCTAGTAGTGCAATTGCTGGGTAACAGGGTAGCTCTATTTTTAATTTTTGGAGAAACCTCCATACTGTTTTCCAGACTGGCTGCACCAGTTTCCATTCCCACCAGCAATGTAAAAGGGTTCCTCTTTCTCTGCACCCATGATATGTTTCTAATGCAACCCCAAACTCTAATAGCATAGGATGGCCTCAGTGAGCTAGTCTGGCATTAGCAATCAAAATAAAAGCAAAAAAAAAAAAATTATTTTTTGATTTTTTTTTTTTAATTTTTTTTTTCAACGTTTATTTATTTATTTTTGGGACAGAGAGAGACAGAGCATGAACGGGGGAGGGGCAGAGAGAGAGGGAGACACAGCATCGGAAACAGGCTCCAGACTCCGAGCCATCAGCCCAGAGCCTGACGCGGGGCTCGAACTCCCGGACTGCGAGATCGTGACCTGGCTGAAGTCGGACACTTAACCGACTGCGCCACCCAGGCGCCCCTGATGTTTTTTTTTTAAGTAGGATTCATGACCAAGCGTGGAGCCCAATGTGAGGCTTGAACTCATGACCCTGAAATCAAGACCTCAGCTGAGATACAGTTGGATGCTTAACTGACTGAGCTGACCCAGGCCCTTCTCCCTGCACCATTTTTTTTAATTAAAAAAACAAAACAAAAACAAAAACCCTAACTGGACTGACATTATTCCAAAATAAAAGGGAAATGCTTCGGTAGGGAAGAGGAAGCCTCTCCTTGAATGCTAGTTAGGGAATCACAAGAGATGCTACTGTGTATTAAATACCCCAGAGTGGGGCATCTGGGTGGCTTGGTCGGTTAAGTGTCTGACTTCAGCTCAGGTCATGATCTCACGGTCTGTGAGTTCGAACCCCGCATCGGGCTCTGTGCTGACAGCTCAGAGCCTGGAGCCTGCTTCAGGTTCTGTGTCTCCCTCTCTCTCTGACCCTCCCCTGTTCATGCTCTGTCTCAAAAATAAATAAACGTTAAAAAAAATTTTATAAATACCCCAGAGTTTCTACTTCTGGCCATACTGTAGCCAGTAGGTGTCCCTAATAGGGAGGAGGGAGCACTGATCCAGAGCATTTTTACTCCCCATCTTCCGAGCACCTGGCTTACTAAAACAGGTATCTGTGCACTACCCTGCGCTGTGTCACCTGAGACAGCAGCTGAGGACATCATAAAATAGAACAGTTCCTCCTCCTGTTACACTGTCATTCCAGTCACTCTTTTTGCCCGTCTGATGTTTAAATGAACCCCCAAATGCTTTGTTTTACACTAAGTGAAAAACTGGAACAAGCAGAGGCGAAGAGGAATCAAAATTCAGAAACCAGGAAACCTGGATTCCAATCCTAGCGGTATCTTTCTGTGGGCCTAAATTTCCCTAAAAATATTTCTGGGCCACATTGTAGGTGTGAAATCAACATCTTAACTAAATGTAAGGGGAGTGAAATGTTAAGGGGAGAAAAAGACTTGCTAAGCATTAGCCCTTAGGACACATCCAACAAAGGAGAACCAGCTTCCCTCCCACAGTTCCCATTTAAAATGCAAAACAGCGCCTCAGCAGTCTTGATTAGTGATTTAAGGGAAATACTAGTAACCGTTCCTTCAAGGGGTCCTACTGGGTCCTGGTCCCTCTCTTTCTCAACATTCCCATTTTTATTGAAATCCCGTAAGTCAGATCCACAAGACTAGACCTACATATATGCACACTGTATGTGTAGGTGTATGGATGTCAACCCATTCACTGCAGTGCCCAGAGCTACTGCAGGGTCAAGTTTTGGAATGTAACATTTAGAATACAATTAGGCTTTCTAGATAGACTACTGAGGTGAAAATCAAGGAATTAATGCCTAATTTGAGGCTGCTAGGTCAGCTGGTTGGGGGACAAAGTTGCCAGTTCCATCCCTGACCAGGTGGGTTAACTACTCCGGACTCCAGGCTGTACCCTAATCCTGGACTGGCTCCTCAGAGATAAGTAGAATACCACAACTCAGTGAGATTCTCAGTGGAACTCCTTTTGCTTTTTCAATAGCTGTTAACAGTACCCTTTATTTTTTTAAGTTTACTTATTTTTTCTGAGAGACAGAGTTCATGTGTGCAAGTGAGTGAGCGGGGGAGGGGCAGAAAGAGAGGGAGAGGAGAACCCCAAGCAGGCTTTGTGCTGCCAGCACAGAGCCCGATGTGGGGCTTGAACCCACAAACTGTGAGGTCATGACCTGAGCCAAAATCGAATGTGAAAGGGAGGGAGGGAGAGAGAGAGGGAGGGGGAGAGAGAGAGAGAGCAAGCCAGCAGGGGAGGAGCAGAAAGAGAGAATCTCAGGCAGCCCCCCCCCCACCCCCCCCCCCCCTTACCCCCCATCAGCACAGAGCCAGATGTGGGTCTCGAACCCACGGACTGCGAGATCACGACCTGAGCGGAAGTCGGATGCCCAACCGACTGAGCCACCAGGCGCCCCTTGTGGTGGTTTTAAAACATGTCCACAAATTATTTGACAATCCTTCCAAGACATAGACTCCATGTCTCTCACCTTGGGTCTGGGCGAGCCACTGTGATGGCCTCAATGGAATCAAGTGCAGTGGAAGTGACAGGCTAGGTCAGAAAAGGCCATGCCGTTTTGGCTGGTTTCTCTGGGTACACTTGCTCTAGGAGCCTTCAGCTACTATATGAGAATTCCAGCTACTCTGAATACCTCCAGGTACCTTCCAGGCATCACATGGAGAGACCTTGGGGAGAGAGCCACCGAAAGACCAACGTGCCCCCAGAGTCTATTTCAGTGCTCAGATGTCTGAGTCTTCCCAGGCCACAAGCAGACACGTGACAGTAGAGAGCGTTTCAAATGACCCTTCTGACTGCACATGAAAGACCCCAAATGAGAACTGTCTAGCTAGGCCCAGCCAAGTTGAACTTTGCAGTTCTTCACACATACTGCACTTTCTCTAACAACACTGAAACATCACACTGCTGTCCCCTCCACCTCTGTCACAGACTTCAGGTAAGATTTCAAGAAGTACCGAGCTAAAGGGTATGAACGTTTTATATGTGAAACCAATTATAGGCCTTTTTAACACATGCTGCACCAACAGTGACATACTAATCCATTCCACCCATGCTAACCCATTATTTACACTGGGCTAATAGCTTTTGTTCACTAATTTACTTAAATCTAAGTATCTATTAAGTTCTTACTTATGGGCACAATCTAAGTGTAAGAGATACAGAAGTGGATAGGATCTAGGACCTCATAGGCCAGTGGTAGAAATGCTAATAATTTCATAAGATCAACTGAGATTATAGATGTGAGTGTGCTTTGCAGTCTTTAGGCCATGATTTCCGTCTTGGTACTGCTGACCTCCTGGGATGGAGAAGTCTGTTGCAGGACCAGGGGACGGGGGTTGCTGCCTAATGCATTTGCAGCATGCTAAGCCGCATCCCTGGCTTCTACCTTACTAGATGCCAGTAGCACCCTGTTATAGACTGTGTTCCTCCCAAATTCTTATGTTGAAACCCAATTCCCAATATGATAGGTCATGAGGACACAGCATATTTTTGGAGACAATTTTGAGTGAGGGTATGCACATGGCTGAAATGAGATTACACTTTGCACTTTCCTGAAGTTATTGTTACACCTCAAGAAAAAGTTTAGTAAAATAAAAAAAAAAATGTTTTCAACTTTCCCCCTTTGGGGTGATGGCAGCATGAAGAATATAAAAATATCTAACTTGAAGGAAATAAAAGAGTAAAATAAAAATTAAATCTCCCTTCAAAAATGATTTCAGGACTTGAGCGGCCTGTCCCACTGGAAATCTGATTCGTTGGAGAAACTGCGTTCCACCCAGTACCTTGGTAAAGGGTGTAGGTTACGAGAGTCATCTGTCACATCCCCTACACTAAAGTCGGTTCTGGAGCTCTTTTTGGGGCGGCGAGAAGCCCATCAGAAAGGACACCGGTGAGAGCGGTGTGACGCGGGCCAGGTACACCGGGCGCCATGGGGCCAGTCCGCAGGGTGGAGCTGGAAGGGCGGCCCGTGTCCCGAGGCGCCGGGCCCTAGGAAGCCGGCGCCTTGCCGCAGCCCTGCACCGCACGCGGAGGAGCAGCGTCCAGCGCGCCCCGCGCCCGCGGCGACCGGGTGACCGGCCAGCCCAGACCTAGGGCGGGGCTGGGGCTGGGGGCTGGGGGCCGGGGGCTGGGGGCCGGGTCCCGGCAGCGCTCCCGCCGCCCAACTCCGGCGGGGGCAGCCTCAGGCGGAGCCCGGACGCGACGAGGGGCGCGGCCTCCGGAAACGCGCGCGGGGTCTGGGACACGAGCCACCTCGGCCCCCTGGGAAAGCGTGCGGGGGTGAACCGCCTCCAACCTGCGTCCCTACCTGTCGGCGGGAGAAGAGAGCGGTCCCTGGCTGCAGCACTCGGGAGCCACAGCGTTGGCACAGCACCGCCTTCCGGTTTCGGCCCTCGGCTGACACTAACTCGTTCAGCGGCTCAGCTGGTTCCATCGCCGCTACCGCCACAGCTTTCCTCGGCCACGACCGCGCAGGCGCTGTCTCTGCGGGCTTTTTCGGAACTGCGCGGGCGCCGCTTTCAGAGACGGGGTGGGGAGCGCACGGTCACGCCCCCCCCTTCTGCGCATGCGTCCTTCCCCCCTCGCCCGCTCTGGGTTCTACTGCGCAAGCGCCTCATTCATTACTTGAGTGGTTAGGTGTCCGCTGGCTTTGTGACAGGGTCACTTACTGGGACGTGACAAATCCTCTCTCTTCATACTCACCTGGTCTTTGGGCTTCCCTTAAATATTGAGTAAAATCTGGGTAAATAAGCCATTAAAGTTGACCATACCATGTAGTTTGCTGAGATTTGACTTTGGTCTTCTGAATGAACGGGAACATTTCTGGAGGCAATGCGAAGGGAATCTGGGCCAGGCTATATACATCAGCAAGTTTTATCTACATTAGTTACTTCAACAAGAGACTACTTAAAGGGACATGTACCTTTTTGGTGTTGGAAAAAGATGCTTCCAGACTTTAATTGCTGATATCTGTTCTAATCATCGCAACTATTTACTATGTGGCAAATACCGTGTTTAAGTGCTTTAGAAACAAACCTATTGAATCATCACAATTCCCTTATGTGGTTGTCACTGATTACTCCCAGTGCACAACTGAGGAAGGTAAAGATCAGAGGCTAGTTTTCAGGGTCCATAGATCCAGGCCTGGCTCTAAAGCCACTGTCCTTTGTCATTACACTATACTTTTCACTCCATTTGATTAGCTTTAGATCTCTAGCTTATCAGTTCTAGTGCATTAGGCCATGGATATCCTGAAATGGCAAGGGAAGCAGAATATGAAGGGGAACCAAGTTACTTAAATAGGTAATGTCTAATCTACCCATCATCCCCATCTGCAGGTTTTTCTTCCTCTTTGTCCTTCAGTAATTCAACATTTAGTAATTATGTAATATAACTAAACCCTGAGGATACAATGATAATAGGCACTTTGTGTTTGAGAACACAGTCTAAACAGGAAGACATACCCAAAACAAATGACATGTGATAAAGACAACCATGGGAACAAAGTAAATGGAAGCCAGGATTAGGGAATAATTCCATCTGGGGAGTTAGAAAAGGCTTTACCTAGGTGACATTTTAATTAGGCGTCAAAATGTGACTAGGATTTTGTCTGAAAAGCAAGACTATGTCAGAAGAACAGTATAATACATGAACAAAGGTGAGAACACATTTAAGAATGGTTAGTAGTCCACTGAAGGACATTACACCTGAGGGAAGAGAAAATGGTAGGGGGTGGGGGGGAAGATCAGAATGGTAAGTGGGTCCAGAGCATCATGGGTCTAAAGTCATGCTAAGGAATTTAAACTTCATAATGTGGGAAATGGGAATCTATGGAATTTTAGGCCAGAAATAACTGTTCAATATTCACTGAAAATTTGCTGTATGTTAGGCACTGTAATGATGTTACATGTAATTGAGGAAGAACATTGATAACTAAATGGAGGGGCTAGATTGGAAGACAGGAAAAGAGCAGGGGTAAAGCTATCAGGAGGCTATTACTCCATGAGTCTGTGTAAGAGATAAAGCTTGAACTAAGTGGTAGCAGAGGGAATACAGTTATAAGAATATATTTGGAACTATTAAAGATAATGTCATGTACAAGTCAGAAATGAATTGCATGTCTGTATTGTAATGGGGGGAACACAAGATAAATGAGTTTTCCGAGGTGGGATAACTAAGTGGCTGGTTGCCAGCGAAGAGAGCTACAAAAACAGGAGGAACCCCCATATCAGGCATACCTCTGTGTATGTGTATGAGAAGAGTATGCAAGATTGGAAGAGTGGAAAGACAGCAAAGAGTTTTAGATGTTTTATGCAGAATATTCAGTGGTGGCTGCTATATAAGAACTCTTAAGTCAGCAGTAAAGATAGCCTAGGAGCCATCAGTTCTGAACCCCCACTTTTCCACCTCCCCTGGATCTCTTCCTGAGAAAGGATGAGTCATATGTTTCATAGCTGTGGTTTGATCAGCAGGCACAATCCATCTGCTGAGGAAAGGTTGGCAGGGCTTCTTTAGTGAAAATAACTTCCTCTTTGGCTCCCCCTTCCTTTTGCTCTGGGAATGTCAGGATTTCTGCAGTTGTGCAGGCCTTCTGCATGGCTGTTTACATCAGGTGCCATAAATCAAAGCAAACAGAGAAAGGAATGGAGTGACTAAAGACCCTAAAATTCAAGTGGGTACTAAGTGAGCTCAAGATTGACTCCTCTTTATTCTGTTTGCTTTTCAAGTAAACTCCCAGTGTGAGAAGAGTCAATAAATACACAAATTCACGTAAATATTTTACTGCTGAGAAGCTCCACAAGGGTAAAGGGGCTACCTCTTACCCGCGTCTAGCAAAGAAACATAGTAGGGCCAGTTGGCAAACACATAAGGTGAAGAGGTTGAAGAGACAGGATCATACAGCTGATCTCTGCCTGGTCCCCCCCCACCCCTCCCCAAGTATCCGCAAGACAGTGTTGGTTAGCCACAAACTCTCTTATAGGCACTTGAGACCACTGATTTTTAATATTTTCTTAAAAAAATACAAAGGAAATGAACTCTTTACACCAATACAACTCGGGGAAAGAGGAAAAAAATGGAATTTTAGAATAAAGGGAAAGTGCATCCTTGTTTAGGTTACCACATCCCCACACTCCCAATACCCACAAAGCCAAGAATTTCATTCCGTAACACAGGGGAGCCTTGAATAGTAGCTCAGAAATTCAGAAATGGTGGTAGCAAGTACTGGAACTAACAAAAGAGTTTTGGTTGCCTTGATTATTCTGTCCCAGGAAGAATAAAATCCACTCTAAGGACAGGTCAGGGAACCTCATAGTAGGAAAAGGACTAATTGTACCAAACACAGCAGTAAAAACCACTCCTTAGCAGAAGTGTGCCCTTAGAAGAACAGGGCAGTAATCAGGTAGCTGAATTTCTACGCTGCTGCCACCCCCACCCCACCCCCAAATAAATAGTAATGAAGTATAATAGTGTAGTAGTATTTGATTCAACACAGACAGACAGTGTCTCACCGACTCAAGGCAAACCTTGCCACGGAGAGATGAGCCCTGGCGGGAAATAAGACGACTGTAAAATCACAGGTACTTCTAGTTTGTTCCCAGGCATACCAAACTCCCACCTTTATTCCATCTCTGCTTCTCCCAACATTTGTTCATTCTTACTCTGTCAATGCCAAGATGCGCACCCAGAAAGATCATGGGGAAATTAAAAGATCCTTCCAAAGACACACCCTTTTAAGTCTTCCAGGTTATACCTCAGCGGTGTTCTAGGTTTACTCACGTTCCATCAAATTCTGTTTACTTCCCTTATTCTAAACCCAGTTCTGATACACCAACCTTGTCCCTTAAGGCAATGCCAGGTCTCTCCCCAAGCCCCCCAAGTTTTGATAGGGGGCTTTCCCCTCTATTATCCTCCAGAATGGAACTGTGTCGCCCCTAGTTACCTGCAGACTAGGAAAGACATTTATTCCTGGAAAACAAGATTTGGATTTTACCCAGCTTACTCAAGTTGGTATCCTTCCAATCATACGCTGGATACTGTCCACATCTAGTAGGTCATACTCACCTTAATTCTCTGCAATACGCGAGGCACAACATATATATGGATTCTCCCAAGCACATGACAGTGCTCTCTGGCCAAGGAGAGATGGTCTGGCCTCTCAGATCCATTCAGTGTGCATTGTCTTCCCTTGAGTGTCTGTTACCCACCCTCCTCAGAGAGAACTACCAGCACAAAGTGGAGTGTGTGTCAAATAAGTACAATCATCACCACACTGGTGCTTGTAATCACCCTGTGCACACGGTGAGAAATAGATATTCTGGAAAGGATCCTTGACGCTCCTGTAAACTGTCCCTTGGACTGGTCACTAGCTCTGGATGGTGCTCCAACAACGGTCACTTCTCTCGAAGAACACACACGCCAGCATCACAGCGCTGGGTTCCCATGGATGTCACTACTTCCCAACTGTCGATGATAGGGTCATAGCACTCGATGCTACTCAGCAGGGAATTCCCATCGTATCTGAGTGGGGAAGAAGCAAAAGAAGAAAATGAACTTTCTATTCCTCTCCATACAGTCCTACATTAAAGTTTGCCACTGGAGACGTCTCCCCCAACCCAAACCCTGTCTCGATCCAAAAATTCGGAATGGATCATGTTGTCCTGGATGCACGACGACTCTAGCCTGGCTTCCAAATCCTTACCCCGCAATAGCATAAAGTCTCCCGCGAAGCACTGTGGCCCCTACATAGCATCGTGGAGTGGTCATACTAGTGACAGTTGTCCAGGAATCGGTGCGAATGTTGTATGCTTCAACAGAAGAAAGGTGGGCTGTACCATCAAATCCCCCCACCACATAAATATGGTCATTCAGCAGGGCTACTCCTGCACCTTGGGGGGAAAAAGGCATAGTAAATCAATACTACTAAGCTTAGGAGAAGAATTCTAAAAACAAAACATGATCATTGGTGGCTAGCTGAGTTCTAGAGTAGCTGAGGGATGTGGACTAGAGCCAGACAGGCTTAGAATAATCTAGTTGTCTTTATTTTCATTATGTTTAGAGAAAAGACAGGCAAAGAGGAGAATGAAACCAGACTTATGTTTTACATGAGTGAAGTGTACGGCGAAGAAAGAAATACAACTCTGATTTGTTGACACCCTCTTTGACTCCACCACCACTGCGTATGTAAAGATTCGTCAGCACAGTCGATTGTCCTCTCCTTTAGATATGAGTGTCTTACCAGAGCGCTTAGTGGCCATTGGTGTAACATTAGTCCAATGTCCTGTGTGGGGATCATATTTCTCAACTGAATTTAAAATATTCAAGCCATCATATCCTCCTGAAAACCAAAGCAGAGACCATTTCAGACAGACTGGTAAACCCTCATGCCCATTCCCAGTGTGCCTCTCTCAGAGTGTTTCAACTAATTCTTATAGTTTCAGTTCTCCTTCAAGAGTTCCAATAATCCAAAGAAAAATCTGATAGTACCCTAATTTCTGCTTCCATGAGAAAGATAACCTCAGTTAACAGAAAAGATATTGGGATAGACTAGGGTTTTAGTTGAAAAAAGTCTATGAACTTCATTTTGATAAAAAGGGGTCCCCACCCATTGAGTTCCCTCATCTTCGCCTCCCAGACTGAATACCTAGGCAGTAGATCACTCCACTGGCCACAACTAGTCCAGCACCCTCCCGGGCGGTTTGCATATCTCCCAGCATGCTCCACTGGTCAATGTTTGGGTCATACCGCTCCATACTGGTATGACGCCTACTTCCATCAAAGCCTCCAGACACGTAGATCATATCTGCTCAGAATGAATGAATCACAGACTATTAGAGGATGAGAGATTTCTTTTTTAATTTTTTATGTTTATTTATTTTAAGGTGGGGGAGGGGCAAGAGGGGGAGAGACAGAATCCCCAGCAGGCTCCATGCTGTCAGCACAGAGCCTGATGTGGGCCTGAACTCACAAACTGTGAGGTCATGACCTGAGTCGACAGCAAGAGTTGGGCACTTAACTGAGTGAGCCACCCAGGCACCACGAGGATGAGAGATTTCTATTAATTCTTCTCCTTACAAATTCCCCACAAGTCCTTTAAATGTTTGGGAACAAAAACAAAATGTTTTTTCATGAGATAAGTCAATTAAGTCTTATAGATAAGGAAGACATCAGAGTTAAGACATCTAAAAAGAACGGGGTAAGATGGAATCCTTGAAATCACTCAAAGACTTCAAAGGTGGAGTTTGCAAAAATATAACCAGTGCCAATTCTCCACTCGGCACACTGGAACTTGATTTACCAGCTCTGTGGTCAGTGTTGAAACACTCATGAATACTGAAAAGCCTTGGTAACATTAATATTTCCCAAAGCAAAAAGGAATATTTGACCTCATGCTCCTGCCAGACAACAGGAGAGTTATGAACCCTGATCCAGCCCCAACAAAACGGAAACACTGCCCTGCACACCAAGCATACCTCCTAGGGTGGTGGCTCCAGCAAGGCCTCGTCGGACATTCATAGGGGCTACAGAATACCAGACCCCATCCTCATCTGCTGTGTAGTCTAGACATTCCACCGAACTAAGGCGGGAACGGCCATCATAGCCACCAATTACATAGATCCGGTCATGTAGGGACACTGAGGCCACGTAACGTCTCTTACGAGTGATGCTCTATGGATTTAGGAGAGAAGAGGTACAAATATTTCAGTCATGCAAATCTTAGGCCTTATCTGCTGCTAACCTTCCTGTTTTTATCTATGTACCTCTCCTTCTTCACTGTGAACCCCTGGGACAGTAGTTCACCCTCAAGTGGCCTCCAAACCCTCTTGTTTGTTGTGATGCTTTTAAAGATGCAACCCTTCTCCACATCTGCCTCTCTCCAAGGCTTCCAAAAAGTTTAATGTCTTTCCATTATCCAGTGTCTGATTCCTTCCTGTTCCACTGGGCTAAAGACTGTTATCTTTCTATAAAGTAGAAAAGTAGCCCCAACTGCTAATCAAAGGGCCAGGATTCCAATATCCTAAAAGTTAGGAGGACTGATTAAAAGATTTCCATGTTCTCAGAACTATTATTGTTCATCCAGCACTGAAACAGAGACATACAAAGGGAGAAAGATATAAACTTCAGACTTCAAGTGAACATTAGTTCAATTTAACATAATTTAACAGAGTTCAGCTTAACAGAGCATGACAATGGAGCATGCTGGGAGTTACACGGACAGCTCAGGAAGGTGCTGAAATAGTGGTGGGTCAGGTAAGTTTAATTTCGCACAAGGCCATTGATATTTCTCCTCTTTTGGAACGGGGGCATTGATATTTCAGAAGTCTAATCTTCTTTTTTTTTTTTCAACGTTTATTTATTTTTGGGACAGAGAGAGACAGAGCATGAACGGGGGAGGGGCAGAGAGAGAGGGAGACACAGAATCGGAAACAGGCTCCAGGCTCTGAGCCATCAGCCCAGAGCCCGACGTGGGGCTCGAACTCCCGGACCGCGAGATCGTGACCTGGCTGAAGTTGGACGCTTAACCAACTGCGCCACCCAGGCGCCCCTGAAGTCTAATCTTCTAATCAAATGGTCAGGAACGATGGATTGATTAATTGATTTTGAACCTACCATGTACATGACACTATTGTAAGGAGCATCTTACTATTACTAGGCTTTGCTACTTTTAGGGCTGGATTACATATGATCTAGAGTCAGGGACTGAGGACATTTAAACTCTTTCCCAATGACTGGCTCCACCATTACTTACTGGCAAAAAGCTCCACTCCTGAGTCTTGGGGTCATATTTCTCTACCACGTCGATGGGAGACTGCTGGCTTCCGAAGCCCCCAACCACCAGAAGCACTTCATTGGCTCCTGAGGACAAAGAGAGAAAAAGATAGGTTACGTCACCATCCCAAGCTGGGAAACTACTCATAGGGAAACATAAGTAGAAACAGTTGTAGGATTTTGTTTTATGTGGCCCAGAGAAGCAATCTGAAATAGGACACTCATCACAAGGCTGCCTAACAGGAAATTATTTCTTTCTGAGGCTCTAGCTCTTGAGGACCTGGACCTCTGAAATTAAAATTTCAGGACAATATTAAACTCCAGAAGGCAAACTTGAACACACCACACCATTCCAACCTACCTACATGCCTCTGGCTGACATAATAAATGAGGTTCTAAGTGCAGGCAGGGGGCTAAAGGAGCTCCCTGCCCTTCTCAGGCTGTAAAACTCAAAATGGCAGTTTTTTGCAATGGGGAAATAACATTCTCCTACTAACCTTGTCTCAAGAAAGTGGAAAGTTGTGGTTTAAGGACCAAGTGGTAGGCTTTTTATAATTTTTAAAATGTTTTTATTTTTGGGAGACAGAGCATGAGTGGGGAGGGGCAGAGACAGAGGGAGACACAGAATGTGAAGCAGGCTCCAGGCTTTGAGCTGTCAGCACAGAGCCCCACACGGGGCTGGAACTCATGAACCATGAGATCATGACCTGAGCCGAAGTCAGACGCTTAACCTACTGAGCCACCCAGGTGCCCTCCAAGTAACAGATTTTTAAAATTCTCTTCCATGAACTTTTATTTTTCCAATGTAGCCAACTATATGACCATGTTCCCTACTAATTCATCACAACTGCCAGGGAATCGTAACAGGTTTTTTTCCCCCTTAAATGTTTGTTTCTTTATTTTGAAAGACAGAGAGCGAGCAGGGGAGAGGCAGACAGAATCCCAAGCAGGCTCCACACTGTCAGTGCAGAGCCCAATGTGGGGCTCGAAGCCACGAACTGTGAGATCATGACCTAAGCCGAAATCAAGAGTCAGACACTTAACTGACCAAGCCACCCAGGTGCACCATCATAACAGCAGGCTTTTAAAGAAAGTCTTTTTCTCTGTTTTCCCAAAGAAGATATTTTGATGTCCTTTATATCTTACTCTCTCCCGTAAAGCCTTCTTGTATTAAATATCTCCTCCTTTGCCTCTTTTCAAAGAGCAAAGTCTTTTGAGAAAATCCTCTGTAAATGTGCTCTACTGAAGTGCATGGAAAGAATGGAGCGTTTTGTATGATTCAATTACTAGGAAGACATTTGAGAGACCAAGGCACTATTATAAATAACTGGACTTTAAAGAGTAAATGGAATACATTTCTTTCTTTTTAAAAAATGTACTTAGAGAGAGAGAGAGAATATGTGTGCACACATGAGCAGGGGAGGGGCAAAAAGAAAGGGAGAGAGAGAGAGAATTCCAAGCAGGCTCCAGGCTGATGGCGCAGGGCTCTAACCTACGAACTGCAAGATCATGGGCCAAATCAAGAGTCGAATATTTAACCAACTAAGCCACCCAGGCGTCCCACAGATGGAGTACCTTTAAACTGCCAAAAACAGATGCATCCCTGATGAAGTAATGGCTCTGACAATTATCATCAGTGGCTGCTGTAATCATTAGGTGAAAGCAAAAATACTACTTTATAATGCTAAATAGGAAGTATACAACCATCACCTATGAAGTATTCTTGCTAAAAAACTGAACCCAAATCTTGAAACTTACCAAGATTCTAGTGTAATCACCAGTTTACAGACAATACAGGGGACAGAAGAACACACTAAATGACACTACATGGATACAATCAGCAAAATCCAGAATGTGGGAAATTCTAGAAGCCAAACATCTTGGTTTCTTAAATAAATTGCAAGGAAAAACCAAAGCAGGAGGGACAAGCCTATGGATTAAAAGAGACTAGGGGCGCCTGGGTGGCTCAGTCGCTTAAGTGGCTGACTTCAGCTCAGGTCATGATCTCACAGTTTGTGAGTTCAAGCCCCGCATCGGGCTCTGTGCTGATGGTTCGGAGCCTGGAGCCTGCTTCAGATTCTGTGTCTCCCTCCCTCTCTGTCCCTCCCCCTCTCGCAATCTGTGTCTGTCTCTCAAAAATAAAACAAGCGTTAAAAAAAATTTTTTTAAGAGATAAAGAAAGAAAAGAACTCAATGTAACATGTGGACCTTGTCTGGATCCTGATTGGAGAAACTTAAGTGTTCAAAAGCAAAAACTAGGGAAATACTAACAGGTATTTATATCTGATGAAAATAAAGAACTGGCTGTGTTTAAGGGTGATAATGGTGTTTTAGATACATTTAAAAAATTTTTTAATGTTTATTTATATTTTTGAGGGTGGGGGGAGGGAAGGAGGGGCAGAGAGAGACAGACACAGAACCCAGGCAGGCTCCAGGCTCTGAACTGTCAGCACAGAGCCTGACGCGGGGCTCGAACTCATAAGTGGTGAGATCATGACCTGAGCTGAAGTCTGACACCTAACTGACTGAGCCACCCAGGAACCCTGATATATTTTTAAAAAGCTCCTTCTTTCAGTGATACGTATAAATGCATAATATATATGGATGGAATTATATCCTGAGATTTCTTTCAAAATAGGCCATGAGTTGATAACTGTTGAAACTGGGTGATGGGTACAGGGAATCATTATATTTTTCTGTTTCAGTATATGTTTGAAATTTTTCTTACTATCCCACACATAAACCATGAAGTTTAACCTCATTTAAGAGGACACCTGTCTTGTATACTTGCCAAATAAAGTTAAATGGACCCTTTTCCAAGGTGAGCCAGTAAGCAAGTCTCAGCAGTCAGCCCCTTTCAGAAAACCAAAGCCTTTGAACAAAGGGTCTTTTCATATTATGCTTATTTTATTTGTGCATAAAATGCCTTCAAGCTGGAAGAGGCCAGGACCACAAAGTATTTGTTTCTTCCTTGGCAGCACTATTCCCCTATTTACCCCTTTCTTACAGTACTGCTTCTCTCCCTCTGACTTGAATAGAGAAGGCAAAAACAATTCTATTCACACACATTTCCCTCTGTAGGTAAATAGGATACTAGTGGATGATATCTGTACGGCTAACACAATGAACATACTCCACAGCAACTGAGAGGCATTTTCTATGCTTTGCACATTTAAAAAATTCCCACTGATTTTCAGCTGTAATTCCTGTTGCTTTATGTAATTCCCAGAAACAAAAAAAAAAAAAACAAAAGCCTAGTATTATGCTAAGTGAAATAAGTCAGGCAAAACAGATACCATATGTTTTCACTCATATGTGGACCCTGAGAAACTTAACAGAAGACCATAGGGGAGGGGGAGAGGGAGAAAAGTTACAGAGAGGGAAGGAGGCAAACCATAAGAATCTCTTTAAGCACTGAAAACAAACTGAGGGTTGGTGGGAGGATGGGGGAGAGGAGAAAGTGGGTGATGGGCACAGAGGGCACCTGTTGAGATGAGCACTGGGTGTTGTATGGAAACCAATCTGACAATAAATTATGTATTTAAAAGGCATTTTTAAAAAAAGAACATACTCATAAAAATGAGTTCTGAGTTTCATTAAATTCTAAGTTTCTCAAATGTTAAAAAAAAAAAAAAGCCTAGGGGAAAAAACCACTTTCTTGATAATATTTCACTCAGGCAGCTTCTGAAGGATGGGACATAGAAACAGGTAAGAAATACTTAGACTGTGTTACAAAACCCAGAAAACTGACAGTGCTTCCTCTTAGCTGAAAGTTTCTCCATAACAGTCTGGGAACTATATGTTTACAGTGGAACTTGGACAAATGTATCAGCATGAGGCACTCAGGGATTTTATGGTTCTAAATGCCTGGGGTCCTAGACCATTGGTTCCAAACGTCTTTGTCATGAAGGACTCTTTTCATTATTTTCCCATGACAGATCTTGTGTGTGTGTGTGTTTTAAATGTTTTTATTTATTTTTGAGACAGAGAGAGACAGAGCATGAACGGGGGAGGGTCAGAGAGAGAGGGAGACACAGAATCTGAAGCAGGCTCCAGGCTCCGAACCGTCAGCACACAGCCCAATGCGGGGCTCAAACTCACGGACTGTGAGTGAGATCACGACCTGAGCCGAAGTTGGACACCCAACCAACTGGGTCCCTGGGTTTTTTTGTTTTTTTGTTTTTTAATGTTTATTTATTTTTGAGACAGAGAGAGACAGAGCATGAGCGGGGGAGGGGGAGAGAAAGAGACACACACACAGAATCGGAAGCAGGCTCCAGGTTCCGAGCTGTCAGCACAGAGACCAACGTGGGGCTCGAACTCATGGACCATGAGATCATGACCTGAGCCAAGTCGGACGCTTAACCCACTAAGCCACCCAGGCGCCCCAGATCTTGTGGTTTGAAACACTGTCTACCAAGCTGCATCTAAGTAATTAACTTGCTGGTACTGCTGGAGTTACATGTAAGTACCAACAGAGCTTTTGATAAGTATGAGAGCACCAGTGTTTTCACACTGAACAGATATAATCTTAATTTTTTTTTAATGTTTATTTTTGAGAGAGAGAGAGAGAGAGAGAGAGAGAGAGACAGAGTGTGAACAGGGGAGGGGTAGGGAGAGAGGGAGACACAGAATCCAAAGCAGGCTCCAGGCTCTGAGCTGTCAGCACAGAGCCCAACGTGGGGCTCAAACTCACAAAGCATGAGATCATGACCTGAGCTGAAGTCGGACACTCAACTGACTGAGCCACCCAGGCACCCCTGAACAGACAGGAGTTTAGTCTTTATTTAGACTGTGTAGCTTTTTTTTTTCCAAAAAAAAAATGTTTATTTTTATTTTTGAGAGAGGGAAAGACAGAGTGCATGTGTGAGCAGGGGAGAGGCAGAGAGAGAGAGAGAGAGAGAGAGAGAGAGAGAGAGAGAGAGAATGAATCCCAAGTAGGCTCTGCACTGTCAGCTCAGAGCCCAACTCAGGGCTTGATCCCTCGAACCGTGAGACCATCACCTGATCTGAAACCAAGACTTGTTCGCTTAACCAACAGAGCCATGCAGGTGCCCCAAAATGCCAGTTTTCTTTCTTTCTTTAAT